GTCCTAGCTGAAACCTGCGAAACTTCAAAAGCCGACCCCTAGACAGGCGGAGGCAGTTGATCCCAGAAGTTAATCTCGTTAAGCGGGAGGGTGCGGCTGGCCATCCCCATGCGACCTCGCATTGAGTTTGTATGGATGACTGTCATCGCGCAATGAGGGGTCGGGATGGATGGCCATCGGCGATGTAAGATATGAGATCAACCGCCAGGTTCTCCAAGCTTCCCCCATCCCTGTGGTTGTGATTTGCGATTTGAGGTCTGTTTTGGCAAAGTTTTGGTAAACATCCGGAAAAATCCGTGTCACGAGGATTCTGGCCACAAGCCCCTTGATCCTTGTCACCGTTGCCACGTTTTGAAGACTGTTGGTGCCGCTGGGTCCTTCTCAATCCATGTAGTCTTGCACTTGGACAATGGGATCATTTTGAGCGCAAGCAAAACCGCAAGGGAAACTTCGTGATGGTTTTGAATGTTCGTTGGGATTTCATTGTTGGCCTGGATATTGTAAGTAGACACAGCACGGTGGAAGGCAGGATTCCAGTGGGTTCATGTGAAAAAGGTTCCGGAGTTGATGAGTTCACATGGATGGGTATGTTCGCTCTCGATCCCGCTGCGAGCTGCTGTCTCAGCATACCGTGTCGGGCAAAACACTGTACGACGCGGCATCTTGATCACACTGCGTGGCTCAGGCGTCGAGCGTACTGGTGTTGTCAAATTTTCACTTCGCAACAGGCCAGCATGCGAAACGCTGTTTAGGTCTGGGCTCGCAGTTTCCAGAAGCATGCTCCGCCTCTGTTCTACAAGGTGCCGTATCAGATTTGTGGCCAAACCCGCTGTATGGCTTCACGAACAACAACAGGCATGATGCAAACGTACCTGTCGATTTATGCAATACGTGCAATGCGGTGTGGTGTGTGGGACAGCACAGGACGTGAAGCGATGTCATTGCACCAAACCACGTGCATTGCAATTCCAATGCAGGCTGGGCAGCACTCCAAAACGGGATGCCGTCGACAGCGACTTTAGGCGAGGCTTCATTCTTGGTATCCGAATAATTGGCCTTTGAATCAATAGGCCGGCTTTGGCCAGCATCGAAACAGACAGGCATTACTACCAATTGGCGGCATTGGAATTGCTGCTAGTTCATCATGGATTCAGGCCAGCATCGTTTCGAATTCAGAGGACACGGTGAGTGTGTTTGCTCATGTTACTTGATGCGGAAGGCCATGTGAAACTACTTTATCGTCGCAGCAAGACATGCGTCAGCTGGAGAAGACAATCTCGGCGGTTGAAGCCCATGCCTGAAGGAACCATGGCGAAGGAAGCTGTTGAGGTTGCACTGTGGGGTGGGCCCGAGGCGTTTCAAAGCAACCGCAGCTTGCCGTCGAACCCTCTCGGCCTGAATGGCCCCTTCTGGGAAGAGCTGGTGGTCCCAGTGAAGCCAGGCCTCGCCGCGGCCTTGCTTGCCTTGAGCCTGCCTTGCCTGCAAAGCAAAGCCAACTTTGTGCAGCACAAGTGTCCCGCCGCGAGGTGACGAAAGTGCGGCAGTGCTTGCTCTGCACTGGCTGGTTCAATCTACCTCTCAGGCAAGGAGGGTGGTGGCGGTCACTTTGCCTGATGGGCGTGTGAATGCAGGTCTCCAGGCCACCACTGTGGGACACAATGGAGGCGGCGACAATTCAGATCGGTTCGAGCCCGAGTTTCCTGGGTACGTATGACCAGGTGGAACGACATCGGTGTCAAGCCCAGCTGGATGCCTCGATGCAGGTGCAAGTGTTGTCTGCATGGTTTGATTGATTGGTTGGCTGGTTGCTCGGGTTGGCTGCCTCGTTGGTTGGTTGGTTGACGATAGACTCGCGAATGGATGATTTAATTAATGAGTGAATGAGTGAGTGAGCAAGTGAGGCTGCGATGTGAGCATTGTAGCCCTCCCAAAGCCGCTGCAGATTCAGGGCTTGTGAATCGTGTCATAGTCATAGTTTCTATTGGTGCTCTGGAACCGTTTCGATAAATTGTTAGTTGTGCAGGACTGTGAAGCATGCTAGGGACTTCCACTGCAGGCAAAAATTCAAGGAGGTCTTGCCTCTGATGCGGAGCTCATGGATGAATTGAACGCCATGGCCTCAGTCGGATGTATTGTTTTGTCAGTGCCGGTTCCGAGCTTTTCTCCGAGCAGCCAGGCTTCATGGTCAGAAGGACTCCCTTCCTCGGTGTGGCGCCATCTCCTGCAACGTGCAGAGCAACGGGTCGGACGAGTGCAAAGGGACAGCTGGTTGCGGTTTTTGACGCGTACGGTGTTTGCAGGTAGCTTCCGGGTGCCTGGGCCGTGCCTTCGTGGCCAGGGCCTTCGGCGTGGCATGGGCCGAATCCCCGGAATCAGGCCGTGCGGGAAGTCTTGCAGGCATTGCAGGCATGCAGGGGTGCGCTTCTGGCAGCGGAGAGCTCCGAGGTCTTTGTTTGGTGCTTGAGTGCTGGCTTCTTCGCCTTTTTCCACATCGATGGTTGGGGCCTTTGTGCTGACATTTTCTAAAACGCAGGGTCCAAGTGCCGACTGCTCGAGGGACTGCGCTCCAGGTTGGAATCATGGAAGCTCCGAGAAAGCATGCACTTTGGCTGCACTGGTTCGAGTTCCCGCATGTTCTCGTAACTGTAGTCTGGCCAAACGTATAGCTGTCAACGCTCAGAAGCCGCAGGCAGCGGTAGATAAAAGTCCACTTTCAGAAGCTTCGCCGCACTTCCCACACAGTATCAGTGCATACAGATTTCCTGCAACTAGGTGTGATCCGAAAACACAGTCTTGAAAAAAGCGGGTCTGCCACATATCTTGGCCGAGGCATGGAACCGAAGACGTTCCGCAAAGCCACGGCCACGGCATTCCTTGGACATTGTCCGATCGGGTCTGGCGGGGTGGGAATCTATCGGCGCGCACAACCAGTCAGGTTCTCAGATTTGGCCACGAAGTGGCTTTGCTTGGTGTGGTGATGTTGAGCCCGTGGCCAAGTTTACCATGGAAGACGGCACAGAGCTACGGTGCTTCCGAAGGGGGAGCGAGAACACGTCCTTTTCAGGTCACAGCTTGTCTGTGCTCGGACTTTGGCCGGATCCCCGGTCGTTCATGCGCTTGCATCTGCTGGATTATCTGCTCCTCGTCGCACGGAGGTCTTTCCCATCTGACCTGGTTTCCCAAGTATTCGTAGGTCCAAACCTCAAGGGCTTTCGAGTGAAGATCGAAGAGCGCTTTTGCGATTGGAAGAGGCTTTCAGATCACGGCGGCTGCAGTTGTTGCCGTGCGTCTTGCAGCAAAGCGGGGAAGGTGCGGTGGACCTGCATCGGCTTAGTCTGGAGAAGACTCACTGAGCATCGTCTGAGAGGCGCCTGCCGCCTGAGAAGAATTGCATGAAGTACTCGGCGAATGTCTTGCTAATGGTCCGATTCCTATGGGCATTCCAGCAGAGCACAGAAGTGGGTTCTGCAAGTGCCAGCAAGGTCCTTGCCTTTCTGTTCTACTGCCTGGTGAGCTTGGCCCGAGACAGAGTGAATTACTGTCAGACGTGATACGCCGTTTGGTCTGCTGTAGTCCCATCCTTCCAACGCTCAGGTTCCAGAGCTGAATGGGCTCTGGTGGCTAGACCGAGATTGGCTTTTCTCTTGACTTTTGCCGGAATTCGATCACCCCGACCCTGCATATGTCAGGTACGCGGTGTTCCTAGTCGGGCTGTTGGCTGCTTGGTCCATCGCTGTGCTGGTCATCGCGGTAGGGGCCCCGAATCTATCCAATTGGTATATGCTGGTACCCAGCACCGCAAGTGACAGCAGAGGACTGGAACCGCGTCATGAAGTGTGGCCTGTTCTTTGTCTCTTCCTCAAGACAGAATCGTGCCAAACGACTGCTGGAGTAAAGTTGCAAAAGCTGGGCCAGGCAATGTGGATACTGGCATTCGCGGCTCCAACGTTGCTGTCCCTTCTTGTAGGTTTACTTGGAACCTTCGGCAGCGACCTCAGTGCTAGGGGTGCGAGAGAGCTCGTGCTTGGCAGCACCACGAGCCAAGGATTTTGGCTTTCCGTGTTCACTCCTGTACTGTTGCTGCTCTTGCTACTTGGCGAAGAGTTTCTGGTCTCTCCCGTGGAACCGTCTCGAAGCTCCGTCTTCTTGGCTCAATCGATTAATGGTAGGGTTCATCGGATTTCAAACTGGGGTTAACTGTTTCAGTTCACTGCGTTTCCTGTTTCTGGATGCCTGTGCTTCTCAGCGAGATGCATTTCTCTGGTAGCCGTCTCAGGTCTCTAGCGGCTGAGCGGCTCATAGGCGAAATGGCCAGACCTGTGCTGCCAAATGTTTTTTGCCCTGTAGCCATATGATCAGTGTGTTGCTGGGGCAGCACTGGCTGAATCTCCAGCTGCCGTTTCGCGCGTGCAGGCCCCCTGATAGAAGCAAAGTGTCGAAATCTCAGCTAAAGATTGCAACGAATACCGTTAGCACAAGCTTCATGCCGATATTGCGAACCAATCCGGTCAGGTGAATATACGGCAGAAACGAACTGGATGCTCGCACTTCTGTGGCAAGCCCGGCCTTGCTCAAGTTCCTGTTTTGTGCCGGTTGGATGAGCTCGACTGATTCAGGTTCAGGATGTGCATCGAGCAAGTCCGGTTCAACACCGCCCTTGCGGTTGGGGCCCCAGCCCGACATCCTTGAACTCAGATGTCAGACACCCTCGACCATGCGGAAGGTGCTGCTCCTCTCGCTCCTTGCTCAGAGGGGATTCGGCCCGTTCCTCCTTCACCTTGCCGGACACTGAGCAGAGAGTGTTGAGTTACGAGTGCTTCCTGAACGCGTCGAGGTGCAGAGCTTCCTCTTCGCCGTGGTGCTTCGACGGCCAAAGTGTGCGTGTACGCCCAGAGATGCGTTCGCCCCGACCCCAAAGCGGTTGTGAGTTGTGCGGGGCTTGTTTTAGATTTTAGATGTGACAGCAAGCCAATAACTCATCGAGCGTTCCTGGCTTAGCCGACCAGAACGTTCTTCACACGTGGATTGGCACTTTCGAGTCTGTATTCCACTGCTCCTGCTGCAAGCAGTATCCTCAACTCCGAGTTTAATCCTGATGTCAACGTGGTTTGTGGCATGCCTGAGGCCTCGGCTCCGCATGGTGCCTTCTGCCGCTACTTGTTCCATGCATCGCAGATCGTCTCGCACACAGGCACAGGGCACCTGGCAGTTTCTTTGTCAGCTCAGCTCAGCTTGTCGCTTCGTCCCTCTCAGCCAGGCTCCGGAGCCATTTGGCAGTACAGGCGCGGCGGTCGAGGAAGCGAGGAATGCGAGGAGCGCAAAAAGGCGAGTCCGAGACCGAGGTCGGAAGCCGTGGTTCTGCCTTTGGAGATTGCCGCGGCCCCGTTTCCAGGTTCAAGTCTGCACGGATCAGCTTGTTCATCGCTTGTTTTCCAGGTGCTGTTCTTGACTCACATGTTCCAGCTGCTCCTCGTGGGGATGCCGGTCGGCGTTTCGGCTTGTCCCCCGGGAAGCTGCGTCACTGAGCCGCTTAGCCGTGTGCTGGCTCTGGGATTCTGTGGGCCGAGGCTTCGTCCTGGTGGTTGGGGCTGGTGTTACTGGTTTTGCTCTCGATGGCCAGAGAGGTTTTATCGCGAAGCTGGCTTGTTTGTGTGATGGGAGTCAGGGCGACGATTGTGAGACTTGTCAAGCTGCAGGGGTGTGCTTTCCATCTGGCGTCGGATGCTCTTCCCCCACATCCCTTGGCCTGCTGCTGAAAAGTGGATGTATGTAGGGTTTTGGATCGAATTCAAGCTACTTCCTGAGGTCAGCCCTTCCTGGCCATCTGATCGCCATTGTCGTCGGCGTCGCTATGGCCACCTCCACTTTCTCACAGGCCCAGCACCTGGCATGCATATGCTTGGAAGGATCGTTTGAAGGGTGGCCAGGTACACTTCGCTTGCTGCAGGTGCATTTCTTCTGGTTCTTCTACGCCCACCACTGGGCTGTGTGCTACATCGGCACTGGGCTTAGGCTTAGAACGCACGGGAACTGTGCATAGGATGCGCTGTGGGCTGGTGCTCCTTAAAGCAGACAGGGGGCCCTTCAAGCACCGGCATGGAGGTTCGGCACTTTGCGCTGTGCGGCTGGGTACGTCATCTTGCAGGAAGCCCCAATCGAATCTTGAGGTGGCTGAGGACAAGGATGCCGTCGGAAGCATCATCACGGGCGTGATTGGCGTGGTGCTCCTGTTCGCCCATGTAGCTTGGCCGAAGCAATTTTTCGTTTTTGTGTCGTGAGGATTGCAGGATTCTTGCTGTTGGCAGTTCGCCTCGTTCAAGATCGCGGCATACCCCGGCGGATTTTCAAATTGTAGAGCTCGTGAGCTTCTTGAGGTGTACTCGTTCTGCCTGTGGTCGCTGTGGCTTGGGTCCTTCAGCTTAGATTAAGGCCATGATGCAATTTTGCATGTGGTTTGTAAGAAGTAGGGGGAAGCCCTATGATTCGCAGCCCAAGGCGGTTGGAATGGGCCCGGCAGCCTTCGAAGGCTCGCCCCTGTACCAGATTTCACTCTCCTTCCGTCCTAGAGTTTCTGTCCGCCAAAAGCCCAAGAGCCGCGGCGCAGGAACGGAGCAGGAACAAGCAGGAGTTGGCTCGGCTGCCCAGTGAGAGCACAGAGAAGACGGCCTAGGACCTAGGATGAGAATGTCACGCCGACGTCACATCTCCGATCTTTGATCCGGCATGGTTCATGCGACTTCAGCCTGTCAGCAGGTGCAGGCCTTCAGGCGGTCTGCGAGCCTTACCCTGGACGATCGGCAGCAGAAGAAGGCAATGTTGGTGCGGCACCAAGAAAGCAGAAGAGCGGAAAGGCTTTTTGAAAGGCTCTCGTGCCTCTGAAGCACTCTGAAGGCTGATTGTCAGAGTGACGGTGCTTGTAAACTGTCAAAAGTGCAAGTTAATGCTCTTCCAAATCTCGGCTCCAGCACAAGAGAGGCGGAAGTTGGGTTGGAAAAACTTGAACAGGTAGATGACTCGTGTTTTGTGGGTGCTTCGCCGAATCTCTAGCAGGAGTCCAAAGACCCGACTGCATGACGAAGCGAGCCGGCGGTTGGAGCATTCAGCCCCAGCTATGGCTTTGCCTCTGACCCTCCCGGGCTTCACGGATCCAGCTGCTGGCGCCCGTCGGACATTGGCAGCACAGGTGCTGTCTTGGCATGGGAGTCCTACAAGTATAGTTGATAAGGGCCGATTCAGCAGCAATCTTATCACTCTATTTTAGCAGATCGTAACAAGTTCTCGACGCACAGCGAGGTATATCTTTCCTTACGAAAACGCTGCTTCTTGTGAGTGACATGTGGCCTCGCCGAAATCTAGCCTCATCCAGTCAATGGTGAAGCGAGAGTCGTATACCATGTAAGATTGAGAAACATGTATCACTCTTCTTCTGTTCTGAGGGCGTGCATCAGCGCGGGGTGGCACCACACGGTTGGGGGGAGAGCGAGAGGCCGTGGGGCCAGGCCAGGGAGCAGCTCCCAGGGGAGGGCTAGGGGGGGCCTGGGGGGGGGGGGGGAAAGTGTCCGGCAGCTAGGACTCGCCTGTGTGAGAGGCTGCACCTCGTTTTTTCAGAAGATAAAAAGGTTTGGTGCTGGTGTTTACAGCGGAGATAGCCGGAGTCTGAACTACTGCGGCCCCAAGCGAGCTTCACTCTTCCTTCAGAAAGAGAGATGACAGCTGACCCCCCGTCCTTCTGGGCCTGAAGCTCACGAGACAATCTCTTTCGAAGTCGTCCCACGGGCACAAGAACAGTCAAGAACCGTGCCCGGATGCGCGGAGACTCAGAGAGCGAAAAAATCCCCACGCTTTGTTGAGGTTGAGCAGCTGAAGCAATGGGATGGCAGCCGCAGCTGGAGCGGAGGTGCACAACTTGAAACTGCTCTGATCTACCCATGATGTGATCAGTCAAGCATTCAGTCACGGAGTGCAAGGTCGACAGGAGGAGAGCCGCGGAGAAGTCGTGGAGACGGTTCGTTCCATCCTCGACTGGGCTTCCAGCATTGACGGCTCCGACTTGGCTCCAGCTTTCCACGCTGTTCGAGACAAGCTGGACATCCGGGACGTGGTGGTTGTTGTGAGGGACTTCATCGGTAGCCTGCTGTATGTGGCAGTTGCTGCAGAGCACCAGCACTCGCAAAGCAAGCAGGGTGGAACTGCAACTGCCAAGCGACAGCTTTCCGAGTTGCTGTGCGAGCTCTGTGGCTTTCGCGAGCAATCTACGCACTCCGGTGCTACACACTCTCGAGGGGGGCTCGCTGAACCTTGCAAATGCTGCACTTGTTGCCACATTGCCATTCAAGAAGCTTTGAGCCTCCTGCGCTTCGTTCACTACTTCATGACAACATCTTGTGCTGATGAATCCTCGGAGAGGCACCTTCCAAGGTGCTTTGTTGTCTTTAAACACTCCTTGATAGGCAGGGTTGTAGGTCGGTCCAGGCGTGTTTGTTTGCACGGTTCCGTGATGTTCCGTGCTGCAGGCACATGGAAGATGGTGTTCTCGAGCTGCTTCACCTCGTTACCACTCTGAGCTCTGCTCTTCACGAAGACTGCTTCCTTGTAGCCCAGCGCAGCGATCATCTACAATGGTGGCCGCGGTACGAGCAGCTCCTTGACGGCAGCTCACTTCAGTGCTTGGGGCTTCTGCTTTCTGCGCTGGCCCTGGCAACCTCAGGTTGAGACGTGACTGTCCCGTGGCATCATGGCCTCTGACGGCCTGGGCGTCCTTCCAACAGCTCTGGCTGGACGCAGAGCAAGCAGCTTTCAAGCTGCAGAAGCGGGTGGCCTTATTCCGCCTGCAGACGGCGCAGGGACGCCAGGGCCAGGGCCAGAGAGCAAGACACGCTCGGCCGTCTGCCGGTTTTGTGAGTTTCCCTCCTCGGCTTCCGAAGGTGGAGCTGACCGGCTAAGGCAGGAGTTTGTGCATTCGCATGAAGAATGTAACTTTGTAATGCTCCTGTAGAATCAGCGTTGCCATGCGCTTCCATTTCCACGCATGGAATTCGGTTTGGTAGTCGAGAGTCTCGCGGTTGACCGAGCTCACTACAAGCCAACCCTGGCTCTTCTCTACAAGGCCTTTGTCACACAGTAAACTCACGAAGTCGACATGAGAAAGAGCTCGGCGAACTCTGGAGGTCAACCGCACATCCATGCAGTCATGAGACTCTTATAGTTAGCCTTTGCACAGTGACATGCCGGACGTGGCATGTAGGAACCAGGTAAAGTGGCAACGCATGTGAGAAGAACTCCAGAGTCAGTCAAGCTCAAGCTTGCAGGCATACTGATCATACTGTCTGCATGGAGAAAGGTGCACATGAGATGTTGAGCTCGGACTGAGGTGCGGGTGAACTCCATGACTATATCAGGCGCCTCTGCAGGGCTTCGATTCGGTATTCACCTCTGTGGCGCTCCTTCCTTTCACAAGCCTGGGCCGACTTAGCTTTGATGTGCATCACTGTCTATGCTTCTTCGTGTGCTTTCGTGCTTCCTGCCCTTTCGCATCGTCACCACGAGCTTGAGATTCCTTCCAGGTCTGGCCGCCAGCTACAGTTGGGTGCCTAAGTTGCCACTGTTTGAGTCGCTACAGCACAACAGTGGCATGGCGGTTGATGACCCTAGACTGGACATCCAAGCGCGCGGCCTGACTAAACCTGATAAAAACAATCTCAAAACCTTATAAAATAAAAAGCCCATTTAAAGGAACCCTTATTTATGGTTTTTAATGAACCCTTCAAAATGTGTCTAGTGTCCGCAAGTAGCGGCAGCGACAGCAATGGAAGTGGCATTCGGGCTGGCTGCAGGATCATCTGTGGCTATTTCGAGCACCATGAGCGTTGCGGCGGCCTCTTTGTGGTCCCTTGCGATGACTGTTGCCCACACATGGTGCATCCGCTATTGGTTATCGGCGGCCAGCTTGATTTTGCAAAAGCTGGACCATGGTTGCTGCTGGGCTCGGCAGAAGAATGCAAACATACTTGCAGGACCAAGAAGCCGATTCACGTTCAGAAGCCGAATCATGTTCAGAAGGGTGTTTTGAAGAAGAATCGCCGACTTGTGCCGGGGTATATGCTCCGCCGAGACTGCTTCAACGCGGGCAGGCAAGCCATGCATCCGCTGCACCAGCAGATACTGCGTCAACTTTCGAAAGCCAGCCGCAGCAGTCGAAGCCCATTTACCCTTTCTGGAGCTTCTACTGCGAGCGCATCAGAGCCGTCTGTCTTGGAAAGCAATCCACAGCAATCCTTGGTTCGGACTCTTGCGCGCCAGCCAAGGCCATCTGCTGAAGCACCAGAAATTCCGCCCGCGAGCAAGGCTATCGAGCCTCAGTCAGGGCCCCCTCAGACAAAGCAGCGGTTGAATGATATCCTCGCAAAGGTGCGAGCAGCTTGTCCACCAGAGCAGGAGGCTGTGCAGGCTTTTCAGGCCCAGGAGGGGGTTGTATGCAATCCAAGGTGTCGGGTGCCGTTCTCCACAGATGTGGGTGAGATGGTGCCGGCGTTGCGAACTCGAGAGGATCAGTAGCCTGCGTGAAGGCCTTTCGTGTCAGCTTCGTGGGAACAAAAAAGAAGGTGTTCAAGGTTCTGCGCGAGTGCAACAGCGATGGCATCAATGCCGATGGAAGCATTGAGTTCGTAGGGCCACACAGGCAGGACATGCGCAAAAACGATTTCCAACGCATCACCTCGCTTGGCGCGGGTGGCCCTTACACCGTTGATCTTTGGCAGCATGCTGCCACAGCCGAGCGATATGCTGTCAAACGCTGCGTTTGGGCCGCAAGAAAGGAGCAGATGATGCAGGAGAGGCACATCCATCTCTTGATGGAATCTCCGTTCATTGTCCGCCTCTACTGCTCGCTTGCAGAGAATGATGCGCTCTACTTGGTCATGGAGCCAGCCACCCAAGACTTGTTACGCTAGTACAAGCAGAACCAGATCTATGGTTGCGAGAAGTCAGCGAAGTACTACGCTGCTGGTGTGGTGTGCGCTTGCGTGTATCTCCACGCCAAATCGATAGTACACAGGGACCTGAAGATGTAGAATTATAAGATTTGTTCGGCCACAGCCAGCTGAACCATTTATTTTGCATT